ATAAACATAAGAATAAAAGCTCAACATCACTGATCATCAGAGAAATGCAAATCAAAACCACAATGAAATACCATCTCACGCCAGTGAGAATGGCGATTTTTAAAAAGTCAGGAAACAATAGATGCTGATGAGGCTGTGGAGAATTAGGAATGCTTTTACACTGTTGATGGGAGTGTAAATTCGTTCAGCCGTTGTAGAAGACAGTATGGCAATTCCTCAAGGATCTAGAACCAGAAATACCATTTGACCCAGCAATCCCATTACTGGGTATATACCCAAAGGAATATAAATCATTCTACTATAAAGACACATGCACTGGTATGTTTATTGCAGCACTATTTACAATAGCAAAGACATGGAACCAACCCAAATGCCCATCAATGATAGACTGGAAAAAGAAAATGTGGTACATATACACCATGGAATACTATGCAGCCATAAAAACAGATGAGATCATGTCCTTTGCAGGCATATGGAGGAAGCAGGAGGCCATAATCCTCAGCACACTAGCACAGGAACCGAAAACCAAACATTGCATGTTCTGACTCATAAGTGGGAGCTGAACAATGAGAACATATGGATACAGAGAGGGGAACAACACAAACCAGAGCCTGTTGAGGGTGGGGAGGAGGGGAGGAAAATTACAGGATGGGTCAATAGGTTCAGCAAACCACCATGGCATTTGTATATCTATGTAACAAATCTGCACGTTCTGCACATGTATCCTGTTTTCCTTTTTTTTTTTTTTTTTTTTTAGAAGAAGTAAAGAAAAAAAAAAGTAGATAATAATAAGAGTAATTTAGAGAAGACTTTTGTCAACTCCAAATTTTTATTTCTGGTTGATTCCCAGTTGTCACCCAATGTTACTTTAATGAGACTATTAAGCTAATGAAATGTTGGACTAAAAGAAAAAAAATTAGCTAAATATACACATCACTTGATGACATACCAGGCACTATTCTAAGTGTTTTACAGAATTAATTCACCTAATAGTCACAACAATCTTATAAGATTATTCTCCCATTTTTTTTAGATGAGGAAACTGAGGACCGGAGGCTTTATAGTCACAAAACTATTAAATGGCAGACATAGAATACTAACCCAGGCAGTCTGGCTCTAGAGTCCCTGATCTTAGCCACTATACCACACAGCTTCTCCAAGGAAAAAAGAAAATGATTAATTTTATTTTTTGAACCTGATTAAAAATGCCTGTAAACATTTTTTTTTTCAATTCTGAACTCTACATAAAAATGAAACTCACAAATAATGGAAATTAAGTAGGAAAGTCCCAATGAGGCAAGATAAACAGCTTTTGACTTCATCTTTATAGTAGAGGAAATTTTGGTAGTAGGACAGAGGAAGCAACAAGAAATTAAAGAACTTCTCTGTGATTAGAAAGTGTATTCCAGGCTGCAATCACCACAGGGTTAATCTGTTCATGCTTTAATTCAAGAAGTCCTGTAACCGCAGGATGCATTCCTAAACATTTATTTAATATGTGGCAGGCATTTTTTTGTAATAATACATAGGCACTTGGCAGAAGACAGCTCTATCTCTAGCATTCCTCCATGTGCACATTTCAATAGGAACAAATAGCTGAAGCCATAGAAATATGCTTTATAAAGATACTGTGCTACAAAGCCTGAACTTCAAGGAATGATAGACAATTGCAGAGCACCATCTGTCCCAGTGTGTCTTTTTTGACCCAAAGATATGGCCAGTTTGTGGTAGAGTAAAAAATCTGCGTGGCATGTGGAATACGGTGTTTAAAAGCTGATCCATGGACCATACTGGGCTATCATAATAAAAGGAAAAAATGACATAGGCCAGACCAAAATGGAGACATAGCTCTAACCACTGTATTCTCGAAAGAGCCAGAATACAGGTGTTCTTACCTTACTGAACCAGACTAAGATTGCTTTTTAAAAAAATCACAATAACCAGTAATCAATCAAAGAGTTCTAACTCCCTTTATTCTGGATTATATATGGTGCTAGGCGATACCCAGACATTAACTGCAGTGTTCCTGCCGGCCTAAAGGTAGAATCCTTGGTTGTCCTCAACTGAACTAGAGTTTAGGGCAGCCTCAGACAAATGGTCCAGGACAACAGGCCAGGCAATGGACAGAGACACTTCCACTTGCAGTCTAGTTCTTGCCAGTATGATCTGCCCAAGAAGGGAAGGTGTTGACATTTTTATTGCTTCTATCAGGACAGAAATTGTATGCCACACACTCAGGGGCAAGTTTCTCTAATTTTTTGGAGAAACACAAAAAGTAAGCAAGCATATTTTATAATAAAGGAGGACTTTAAACAGGTAGTTTGTAAAGAATATCACTTTTTTCCAGCCTTATTATAGATGCAGCCTTACTCCTAGGAACAGGGACACGGATCTCACATTGCTTTGAAGTAGGGGGAAAATCTTGAAAGATTACCTTTAAACACTTTGAAAATGTGTTACTGTAAAGAACTCAGCAATTAAGTAAATCTCAGGAAATCCCCAAGATAGAAGGTAATTAATGTGGTTTTAAGAAATGGAGCCATCAGCTCTGCCTGGAAGAACAAATTTCACCAAATGTTCCTTCTCTCAACCTATAGCCCCAATTTAATGCAACTGATGCTGCAATCCATTGTATCAACTGCTATATAAGCTATCTGACCAGCACTTCATTCAAGTCTGTCTTTCTTTTTCCCTTTCTTTCTTCTTTCTTTCTTTCTTTCTTTCTTTCTTTCTTTCTCTTTTTCTTTCTTTCTTTCTTTCTTTCCTTTCTTTCTTTCTTTCTTTCTTTCTTTCTTTCTTTCTTTCTTTCTT